GGCAACTCCCCCCACAGACAGGCAGAGGGGTGAGAACCTGGAAATTGCTTCAAACCCTGAGGACAGATTCTGAGGGTGCTGAGGCCTGGCGTCCCAGTAGTATGGGCTTTGTTGCACAGTAATTCTGAGCAGCTCCTAGAGCTCTTAACCCTTGCACTGACTGCACACACACATCTGAAAGTGGTTTTAAGCACTCATTCCGCAGCTTAAAGTTATGCCATCCCAGGGCAGGATTCTCTTTGATCTGTACACCCCCCGCCTCCCGCTCCTATTCCATTTGGGTGTGGTCATTCCCCACAGATGTGCCACCCAAATTGAAGTTCTCCAGTATTCCAGGATCTCTCATACCCCCACCTGTAAAGCAGGGCTAGAAGCCTGTCCTGGCTCACTAGGCTTCCAGTGGTTCCTTGTCCTGCCCTGCTCACTAGGCCTCTAGTGGCAGTGCAGGTGGGGGACAGTCAGAGACGTTTTCTAGAGCAGTGGTTGTCACCTTTTTTCATTTGCAGACCCCTAAAAAATTTTGAGTGGACATGTGGACCAAGGTTCCCTCTAAGCTGTGATTAAAAATCTTGCCACGCACTAACTTTTTTATGCCACGCACCCACCTGGAGAGGAGCTGGGCTGCAGCTTCCCGGAGAGGAGCTGGGTGTGGAGCGTGGCGGAGGCACTGGGGCTGGTGCGGGACACTTACCGGAGGTAAGCTCTTCACTCCTCAGGCGGGGCAGGCATCAGCTCCTCCCTGAGGTGAGCCGGGGCGGGGCAGAGTGCCTCCTCGTTCCCCGAGGCGAGCCAGGGTAGAGGCTGGCATGGGCTCCGCCAGCTCCGGGGAACTGCTCTGCAGGCTCCTCCAGCTCCGGGGAACTGCTCCACTCCCCAGCCCGTCAGTTAGGTTTCCAGAAGTAAATATTTTTGGTTAAAGATTCCTCCAAAGTTTGGTTCAGAACACAAGTTGGGAAGTTTCCATTTAAATAAAATGCAAGTTTTAAGCTTATTTTTTCTTGTACTGCTCCAGCTGAAGCTCTCACTGTCACCTGCTCAAAAATTCTACCAACTTCCCAAAGGCCACAACCACGAGGGTATTTGCAAGTTGGCATTTGCTTGCTGATGGACAGAAGGATACTGCAGCAGACAGCCACAATGGCACTGCTGCATGTTTGATAAAGTCCAAATAAATAGCAGGCCTGTGCAGCAGCACGAGCCCATGGGAAGTTCTAGGTTATAGGGAACTGTCTCTAACAAAGGCAGAGAAAAGAGTCATGGTCTCGCAATCTCCCATCTGGGGAAAACTGGTAGAAGCCATCTGAAACTTGCCTTTCCTACCACCCTCAGTATTTCTGGCAACAACTTCTCTCCCCTATTTCCATTTCTATGTTCTGGCTGTGAAGTTTAACTGACACCAGGGTTGTGAATTAAGCACCAGGTGACCAGAGGCCCAGATACTGTATCATCTTTTGTTGTTATACTGTGTTATACTGTGGGGCGGACTGAAGTGGCGCACGCCGAAAGGGGGAGGCGGGGCCAATTCAGGAACAGACCAAAGCAGCGTGCTCATGGATCACTACACCTTAGAGGGAACATCAGTGTGGACCCCTTCAGGTATTTCAAATGATAGTGCATACCCCCTTGAATTGTAAGTGTGGGTATTCACATACTTTTGACTTATCATAGTCATCTTTCATAGACCCACTAAACAGTCTGGGACCCCCAGAGGTTCACGGACCACAAACTGAAAACCACTGTTCTAAGCTAGAGGTTCCCCAACCTTTTCTTATAGTGTACCCCCTTCCAGATTTACCAGCTGCCCACATACCCCTACCAGCATGTTTTATATTTTAACACCTTAATTGCCAATTATAATAATAATTTTAAATCCACCATTATACAATTACACTAAAATTAAATCTACCATTACACAATTTATCCTGCATACCACCCCAGAACTGTCTTGTGTACTGCCAGGGGTGCATGTACCACAGTTTGGGAACCCCTGTTCTAGGCTAAGGGTGCAACTGCCCCAGACTCCAAGCTAGAGCTAACACCCATCAACATCTGTGCACCTTACAGTGGAAGGTGCAGCAAGGCCCTCTCTCCATGTATTCTCTGCGGCCTGGAGCTGCTCTGGGTCATAAAGCCCACTGGGCAGCATCCCTATACACTTGGGTGTAGTTCAGAGGAACCAGCTTTGGCTTCCCTTGTCCTCCTCCAGAGGGAAGGAAAGCCCCCAGAGATGCCCTGCATGAGACAGCCCCCTTTAGCTGTATTCATTCGCCATGAAGCTGAAGTTGGGTCCGTATGCCTGGTTCCTAATTCCCAGTTCCTGGGTCCCTTTTCACAGCTCATCTTTATACCATGAGAGGCTGCTAGTGATGAATGAGATGTGCTAACGAGTTGGAATGTGGTCAGTGATGTGTGTTTCTCTTGTGTTGAGGACACAGTCCTGACTGCAGAGCAGAGATCAGGCTGTGAAGGTGGGAATAAGGACCCAGGAATAAGGACCCACTTTCAGCCTCAGACAGACAAGGTTCTTTGGGTAAATGTGGTATCTTTTATTAGACCAACTAAAAAAATTGGGAAAATTGTTCTTTGCAACCTTTCAGGTACAAACACCCTTCTTTAGGCATAGGGAGAGTCTGCTGGTGTTATGTGTTCTCCTGGATGGAATAGAAGCCAATATGTAAAATGCAAGTCTGTGAAAATGCAAATATGTGGCAGTGAGGATCAGAGGGGGGTGGGAGACAATAGGAAAGAGACAGGTGG